CACCAGGCCTCTAGTTCAGAAAACAAATTTCTGAGTTTCAAGGCTACAACATAAGCTGTTTAGGCAGTATCCTGCACAAGGGTGCCCGGCTGATGCAGTGAAAGAGGACATGCAACCCATCCCACACTTTGCCAGCTAAGCCATTTGAACCAAGGTGAGTCGTATTTGTCTGAAAGAAGGAGGTCTTTTTGAAATTTACCTGCCAGGAGCATGCACCTTCTTATAATTTACACACAGGTATGGAATGTTCTAGCTATGGTCCTGCGGCTTGTATGGTCCGTGGTGTTCTATGGAAGGCATTCAGTGTTCCACTGTGTTTAGCATGAGCAAGGCTGCTGGGCATGCTTGTTATCTGGAGTCAGACTGCCTCTCTGTGCTTCACATTCTAAATCTGACCACTTCCTAGAGCTGTTGGGAGAATAAATAAATTTTTATATGAAAAACACTTAGAGTAGAAGCTGGCACACAGTCAGTGCTCAAAAGGTTAGCTGTTTTTAGTGACATCTTCACCTGCCGCTCTATTCTGTGTTGAAAGTTCAACAATTACTATCTGAATTCCACCTACAAATACCACTTTCCTTTAATGAATTACACTTAATTTGAAAATAGTTTTCTTTTCACCCCAGGCTTCTTTTGCATGTATTTGTGTTAAATAACTAAAAAGCATTTTCTTTAGAGACATCAAGAATCCCAGTTCTTCTATCAGAAGGTCATTTGGTTGTTTTTACTTCATAAAACCATTGCTTTATCAGAAATGACCGGAAGGTGATGAGGGCTGTTTCTATATTTTGGCTTTTTTCTTCCTTGAGGGAATGCCTATATTATTTACCAATATTATAAGTTAGAGATGCTTTGAGGTACAGTGAATTTCATTGTCAATTTTAGTTAACATGAATTTTTTTTTATAATTGGGACAGAATCATTTATATAGCAGCAAACTACAGATGTTTCATAATGTTTTCAAGACAATTAAATTTCCATTTTAAAACATTTTGTTAAATATCAGATTTTGATATGAAGGACATTCGACATTAACAAAGCAAAGGATGAGGCAGATGGTAATTTTTATTTTTTTCACTTCCCTCTAAATCCTAACTTGTCCACTGCTCTAAAGACACCTTGAAGAGGCACCTCTGTTACCTGCACTGTGTACTTTTCAGTCTCTTATGGCATCTAACGCTTGGGCTGTTTTCCATGGCACAAAACTGCAAGCACAGAAGGCTAAGAATGCTGCACACCACTCCACTGATTTCCAATCTTTACAATAATTTGCGTGTCTAACCCAAATTTAGGTCTCCAAATAATTGAGATAGTTATCACTTTGATAAATTTTTTCCAAGTAAACTACTCAGGAAGAAGTAGGCATTAGTCTACCATTATTCCTGGGTGCCATGCTATGATTATTCACCTGAAGGAGACTCCTTGAGTTGAAATCCTATGGACCCTGCACCATTTGGAAGCAATAAATGAGATAGATAATCTTATCAGAAGCCTGTCATGGGCACATAGGGGCTGCTTCTGAAAGTGGCAAACGATCATTTGTTTGTGAAATATTAATTGATCCTGCCTGTTAAACTGAACTTTAGCTTTTTAAAAGTACAAAGTCATTATAAGCTTACTCCTACATTGGTTGCAAAAGTTAAATATCCATTTAAGAGAAAAACATTATTTTAAAATTCTTATACTTAGTTGGAGAGCAGAATGTTTTAAGGCACTTGACATCCATCAGTGTATTGAGTTACTGTATTTTTTTAATTTGGCTCTTTCCATTCAAGACCATATTGTGCTTCTCCCTTATTATTATGACCTATCACAGAAACGGCCACATAGATAGATGCTTGTCTGAGACTGTCCTGTCCCTGATGCTGCCTCTCTCCATACTGGCTGCCTCTCCACTGTATTTTTTTTTTCTTTTTGGTACCAGGTGGTGGCTAAGAGATCAGCTTTGGGGCTGAACTCTGACCTTGCCATTTACTAATGGTATACTCTATGTCAGAACAATGAGTGTCTCCAACCCTCCATTTTTCTTTTTAAAACAAGGCTAATGATACCTTTGTGTGTAAACCACATCACACAGAGTAAAGCCAGTACTCAATGCTTTCTGACAATGGCTGTTATTAATGTAGATATTTTCTTAAAAAATCTGTTATTGCATTGAGTCAGGAAATGATTGCTTAAGTGTTTAAACAGTGCCAATTACATTGTTTCATGTTTTAGGGTAAATAAACTTCTGCTACTTTCTGATTTTTTTCCACAATAATATTGCATTTCACAATTCCCGGACTTTGCAGAGAATGCACCATCTCTCATATTTTTGTTCTATGGCACAATGTGTTAAAAGTTCCAAACAACCGAAATAGAAATGAACTCGGAAACAACCTTGTTGGAAATCAGGGTGGCTTTGTATAGTTCATGTTTGCTTATTCTTGCGTCAGTCAAACCAGTAGCCCTTTCAGCAGTCATTACCAAGGAATCCCTTGAGAGCTACTTCTTCATGTTAATCATCTCCTGAGCAGACTCTAACCCCTCAGGTTCTCGGGTGTTCTAAAATCCCCTCCTCCTAAACTGCAGTGACTAAGCCACTGATACTTGGGACAATTGTTTTTTTCAATCAGCTTTTGTCTATTGATATCAAACAAGAATTTTGAATAGCCCCCTATGAACATTAGTGTGACAAAGTGTGAGATATTTACAACGTATTCTCAAATTGCTGTATTTAAAGAGATTTTTGTCATTTTCTATTTATGACTTTTTAAGGCACATGAGCGTCTAGAACTCTATTCAACGCTTTGATAAGACCCCAGCCTGTTCTAATAACTGTTTATGTTTACTATCAGATACTACTGGGTAACTGCGTTTACTAAAAGACAGCACCTTTTGTGGACTGTAAAATGGTTGTGTATATGAGTGCTGTTGTATTTCGTTCTGAACCCTTTTGTTTAAGCTGCAGCATGCGCAGCAGATCCCCCTGAATGTCCTGATAACAGCTGTTACCATGGTTGCATCTGATTTCATATTTTATTTGTTGAACTGATGCTTGATAAGAGAAATGGCACTGAATTATCTGCAATGTTGAATCTAAATAGAAATGTTTTCTCATTTTTCCCCCCACTTATAGAGGTGAAATTAGGAAACTGGAGTTAGAAATCCAAGCCCTGTATTCCTAAATGAGGGTTGTGCAATACTCGTGCACACTGCATGGAGGCCTGTGGACTTTGTAACCCTAACCCCACCACCAACTGAAAAGCTCTGGGCCTGCCCCTAAGGAGGGAGGGAGGGAGAGAGAGAGAGAGAGAGAGAGAGAGAGAGAGAGAGAGAGAGAGAGAGAGAGAGAAGAGAAGAGAAGATGGATTAACTCAAATAATGAAGTGTCAAATCTGCCTCTTTAAAAAATAGGTTTCTTTTTTTAGGTTAAACAATAGGCGATGAATGAAACCTTGGTTTTTCATTATGGCTTTTACGGTGGGCTCATATCTTACATTTCACAGATTTTTATCAAACAAGATACAAGTTTTTTTAAAAAACACATTGATCCAAATAAAGTGAAAAATATCTTTGAAATGTAATTTCTCCCTGAAGCAAAAATAGAGAAATGTGATCTACAAAGAAGATGGCCTGACTTTGCCTGCTGGCTCCTGATGTGACCTTGGACACCTCTTTGTCCTTCAATTTCTTCAGCAATAGGATGCGAATATAAATAGTACCTTTAATTATTGGGTTTCTGTGAGAATTCATTGAATTAATATGTTAAAAACTCTAGACCAGCTTTTCACATGTGATGAGCACTACATGGCTATTTCAATGGGAACCTTTCTTTCCCTTAGCATTAGTGGGGTATAAAAGTCCCAGAACTATGATTTTTGAAAGAAAAGACTGAAACTATTTCATTTATTGGTAAGGCACAGTGTTTTAATCTTTCCTTGATTTTATTTGGTCTCATAAAAGCAAATGAGTAAGGTAATTGGAACTGAGCAAATTCAGTTCATTATTCTGAGCATCACAGTGCTGTTGTCTGAGATTTAAAAAAAATACTACATCCTGGATGGACTTGTACATTGTCAAAACATATTTGGTATATATGTACCATATCTTCTTTTTTAAAAAATATATTTTATTGATTTTTTACAGAGAGGAAGGGAGAGGGATAGAGAGTTAGAAACATCGATGAGAGAGAAACATCGATCAGCTGCCCCCTGCCCATCTCCTACTGGGGATGTGCCCGCAACCAAGGTACATGACCTTGACCGGAATTGAACCTGGGACCTTTCAGTCCACAGGCCGACGCTCTATCCACTGAGCCAAACCAGTTATGGCAATGTACCATATCTTCTTAATCCACTTGTCTATTGATGGGCACTTAGGTTGCTTCCATATTTGGTCCTGAGTCTGCTAGGGTGTATATATTTCTCTTAAGTGAGGTGTTGTGTTTTTGTTGTTTTGTTTTTTAATTCTCACCTGAGGATATGTTTTTCACTGATTTGAGAGAAAAATGAAGTGAGAGGAAGAAAGAGAAAAACATTGATGTGAGAGAGAAACATTGATTGGAGGCCTTCCCATACATGCCTCGACCTGTGATCAAACCAGCAATCTGGGTCTGTGCCCTGACTAGGAATCGAACCCGAGACCCTTCAGTGCACGAGACAAAGCTCTAAACAATTGAGCCACACCAGCCGAGCCAGGGGCCTTGTGTTTTTATCGGTGTTGTCTGATGTAAAATCACTCAATTTATTCCTCAAACATGGACATTTTGATATAGTGACCAAAAGCTGTTTTTAAGATTTGAGGCATTTACCAAAAATAAAATCCCTTTTGTTTTTTCTACAAATAACAATTGGTTTTCTGACTTGGAATTTGGGTCTCTGTTGAGAAACCTTAGCCACCTGTAAGTTAAATATAACATTAGGCTGTGTGTGAGCCACATGGACTTTTCTTGTTGGCTGCTAGCGTGAAGAGCTTATCTGGAATCCTTATAAGGTGTTTGATTCTGATTTCTTATTTTATTTTCTCCCAGGTATGGCAGCAGCCAAACTTCTGCATGATTCTGGCCTGAATGTAGTTGTTCTGGAAGCCCGGGACCGTGTGGGAGGCAGGACGTACACCATTCGGGTAAGACATTAAGGATGGAATGGAAAAACACGGTATCAAAACTGATTTTTTTTTCATTTTATTCTCTCTAAGGGAGTGAAAATTACTCTAAACATTTCTCACAGCCTCACTCCCAATTTTTTTTTCTTTTCAACTCTTCCATACCTTTTCTCTTCTTACCTCATGACACTTGGCACTAGCCCAGTAAAGTATTGCCCCAATAAATAGGTATGTGGAATAATACATCAATGATTAAAACAAAGAATCCTGCCCTTAAGAAATATACTAGAGGCCCCGTGCACGGATTTGTGCAGTGGTAGGGTCCCTTGGCCTGGCCTATGGGGATCGGGCCAAAACCAGATCTCTGACATCCCCTGAGGGGTCCTGGATTTCGAGAGGGTGAAGGCCAGGCTGAGGGACCCACCGGAGCATGATTCCATGCACCAGGCCTCTAGTATGCATATAAGATCTTTGGTTAATCTCTTCCCACCCTCCCCTCTCCCCCTTACCTCTGAGATTCATCAGTCTGTTCCATGTTTCCATGCATGTGGTTTCCACTCCTGCATTGAGTGTCTGCTCCCTGGTGGTCAGTGCACGTCACAGCTACCTGTCAGCTGGTCAGCTGGTCAGCTGGTCGGCTGGTCGGCTGATTGCTTAGT